CAGCCATGGTGGCACATGCTTGTAATCCCAGCACTAGGGAGGGTGAGGGGAGGATCACTACAAATCCAAGCTGTTAGTGAGACCCTCTACCAAATAGATTTATACAAAAAAAGAAAGAAAGAAAATTAAAGTATTTGTATAAGTTCAAGTTCAGGATGGCAGAGTTCTGCAACAGGAACTCCAGAAGACAGAGACTAAGAGTTGAGCATATAAGAAAAAATATTCATAAGCTAAAAGCTAATCTTTAGCGTAAAAGTAACCCTTAACTAAAAAATTAGTAAAATTGACAACTAATTTAGATGAGTAAATGCACAATTTTAAGCATAAAAGGAACACTCAACGAAAGTATTAAGACTTGCAAAATAAAAACATGTGAATCAGTGCAAGATTTTTCTAATGACTCGTGTGATCCAGGTACATACGAACATTTACATTCATTCAACAGTGAAAAACTAAAAGTAATCGGAATACTTAGGTTGCTCACACTTTACAACTGGTTAGACCTTGCCTGCCTGACAAGTGGGATGTCCCCAGTTTGACCCCTAGTACTGCAAACAACAACAAAATAATAAGGACTAGGCCTGTGCTCAGTGAAAGACCCTGAGTTCAATCTCAAGTACTCTCAAAGGCAGAGGAGGAAATGGTGCACTAATTAAAACAAAAAATAATTTTCAAACAATACATTATAGACTATGCCAGGCAGGCCAAATAAATCTGTGAACTGCAGATGAAGCTGTGATCAAAAGACAGTATCAGAACCCTGGTCAGAACCCCTGAGAGGGACCAGCTTACTCAAATCTTACCTCTCTACGTATTTAACAACTGCCTATGGACAAAGTCCTTATTAATCATGTTACCAAATGCTGCATTTAATGCAACCCGGGCAGTACCCATTCCAGCAGGTTTCCACAGGAGAAAGGCACCTCCACCTGCTGTTTCTCAGGGAAACACACCAGCTGTCCAAATGAGAACACTTGCCAAGCTGAAAGAGTAGAAAAAAGGTGATTCTCATCTTATAAACTAATGAAACAGCACTACTAGATTTAAAAACCAGCTTTTTGAACAAACATTTGGGAGAACCTAACCTGAAGTTTTTAAGATCTACATGGGATGGGGGGAGACCACAGGAACCAAGAATATGAATTGAAACAAAATTTCAATTTCAGGAAACACATGAAATTAATCAGGTTCACAATGATACCCAACTGGTAACACAATTCAAACCTGAAAGAATTTATGTCAAATACGGCAACATTTATATATACTCTGAGAAAGCTTATAGTTTTTAAATACTTGCTGTGAAAAGGCTTAACTGGGTTTAAGATAAATATACATTATCCCAAGAAATTTATAGCTATTCTCACTGGTGGTAATACTAGGGGACTCAACCCAGTCATGCATGCCTACTGAGCTGCAACCCCCTTTTTTTTTTTATTATGAGACGAGGTCTCAGTTAATTTGCCCAGGTAGGACTCAAACTTACAATCCTCCTGCCTCAGCCACTGGATTACAGTCCTGAGCTACCAGGCCCAGAAAACAAATAGTTACCACTGAAAGGAAAAACGTCTTTAACCCTAGGCACGGTGGTACATCACTATAATCCCTGCATTTGAGAAGCTGAGGCAAGAGAATTGCCTACAAACTATGAACTCAGGCTGGGCTATACAGTGAGTTCAAGGCCAGCCTGAACTACATAGCAACACACACACACACACACACACACACACACACACACACATAAAAGGGGTAAATTAATGAAAAACATGTGTCCAGCAGCTATAGAAAAATGCCATACTATTCTGTCATGTCACCTTCTCCCAAATGAACAAATGTTTTCACTACAATATGAATCAGTTGAGCAGAGACCCCCAGAGCGGCAGCTGCAGTCTCCTGGGCAGCATCTGCTTCTCATACTCATATCCTGGCCCCAACGTGCTCATCTCACTGTACCTTGTTTTTGGCTTTCTTGCAAAACACAGTATCTCAAAATATGTATCAATAAATAACTCAAAATTTAAAAAAAAAACTGGTTAGACTGAAGAATCTCCATTCAGCTTACTATGTTCCTATTCCATGAAAATTAATACCTGGGTATGGTGGTACACATCTGTAATCCCAATACTTTGGAGGCTGAGACAGGAAGACTGTGAGTTCAAGGCCAGCCTGCGCTACCTAATGAGTTCAAGGGCCAGCCTGAATTACATAGCAAGACCCTGTCTAGAAAGAAAAAAAAAGGTTCAATGTATCTTCAATGTTGAAAATAAGGCCCTGTTCTAAACGTCTCACATTCATTCATTCCTCAAACCACCCCACCAATGTTTTATAGATGAGAAAACAAAAGTAAGACAGTTTGTTCAAGACGAAGGAATAGATGGCAGATTCCAATACAAGTAGCTTGGCTAGAGTACTTACTTGCTACAACAGGATCGGCTTTTAAATATTTACTAAGTTTAAATTTGCTAAAAATAATTCTAAAATACAGAATTCTGTTTTTGTTGAGAACAACAGTATTTAAATGTCAAACTAGTACAGAATAAAATATCAACTGAGCTACTTAGGATTGGGGGAAGAAATCAGTAAGATAGCTTTATTCCTGTACCATTTTATTTTTTTTCATTTTACCTGTTAAGTGGCATATTTTTCTTAAGTGTAGAGTAAAATGGAAAGATTACCCCTTCTCAGCTAAAAGGCTAGGATTTATGAATTTAAAGATTTGAATACTTCGATTCAATCTTTCCATGAAATAGCTGCAATAAACAGGATATAGAAAGGAAGGGATGGAGGCAATGCAAGGCAAGGCCCCATGTCCCTATGGCATTTGAGCCGCAGCAGGCTGCATCACTGAAAGTTCTGACATTCTCCAGCACTGCACTAACTCTACTGGCTCTGAAAATAAGGAAACCAGGAGCTAACAATGCAGTCTAGGAATGGCAAACAGCCAAGGAAACACTCTACCCCAGGGAACTCCTGTGCGGTGGCTGCTGCCTTTACTTCAGCTTAGTGGGACGATTTTGCACTTTGGACTCCAGAATTAATACATTCAAGTCATCAAATTGGTGGCAATTTGTTATAGCACAAACTAATACAGCACCTGAGAAATAATATATAGTCACTATCTTCAGAAATACACTTGGGGCCAGGGAGATGGCTCAGTGGAGTAAGCGCTTCCCTGGCAAGCGTAAGGGCCTGAGTTCAATCCCCAGTCCTGCAAAAAACAAAACAAAAAAACAACCAAAAAACCAAAAACTCACACTAAAATTTAATGTAGGGCTGTTAATCTGAACAAAAGGTTCAAAGCTCTTGGGCCAGGGAGACAGCTTGCCAGGCAGGTTCTTAGACAGCTGAGCTAGCTCCCTGGCCCCAAACTTGCATGATTCAGTAGAGTAAGCACTTGCCTGGTAAGCACAAGGTCCTGAGTTCAATCCACAGTACTAAAAACAAAACAAAAAACCCAGACTATAAAGCTCACAGCACAGATACCACTTTTTCTCTGTAGATTTTTGGAATCCCACGGAAGTCTATTGACAAAACTAGTTCTACCAGAATTCTTACGATTTAAAAACACAATTATGAAAAGATCCTAAGTATCAAAACTTTCCTTTAATGAGGCAAATTCTTCAGGATCACAGCATTTTTGTCTTCCCAACAGGAACACTTCTGGAAATAGTGGCATTCATTTATAAACATGAAGACTAATTCAGTAGCAATGTATAGGTATTTCCACTTACATTATAAAGAAAATCAGATAGTCTCACCACATAAAGGAATATAAAACTATTTATTGACCACTGCTCACCATTATTTACAATAAAGTAAACAATATACATTAGGATAACATTCTGACTACTACAAAGTTGTTTTCCTGGCTTCTGCTGAAAACAGTAACTCGAATACTGAAGATTGAACCTACATGTAAGGAACAAGTTGGG